GGAGCCTTATCTAAAGCTGAAGATTTCCAGGCTTCCTTTAGACTGTGAATTTGTCCTCCCTGATGTAAAGTGATATTGCTAACTAAGACCTGAAGAAGGAGAAGAAAGTGGCAACAGGACTAGAAGCCAATTTTAACTTGCCTATTCTGTGTGGGTGGTTACGAATCGGGCTGCGAACCTTAAGGTCAGCGGTTCGAAACTACCAGCTGCTCCGCGGGAGAAAGATGAGGCTTTCTACTCCCGTAAAGATTTACACCCTCGGAAACCCTGTACAGGGTCGCTATGGGTCGGAACCGACTCGACGGCACTTAACAACAACAAATAATTCTGTGTGGCACTGTAGCATAAGCACTGGACCATAAGATCAGTTTGAAGCACAAGGTCGACAGTTCAAATCCACTAGCCACTTCTCAGAAACTTTATACAGAGTTGCTAAGAGTCAGAATCGACTGGATGACACTTAATAGCAACAACATTCTGGTTTCAACTTGTTAGGCCATCTTGTCTATTTTTTTATCCCTCCATTCTACCTCCAGGGGTAGTGCTGTTGGCATGCAAGCCAGAGGTCACTCAATGAAAGAAGAATCTGAGCTAACTTCTATAATGAGAGGAACTCATTACAGTAACTCCACGACATTCTTCTCTCTGGATCCTGGGTTACTGCTGTGGAAAAGAAAATAGCAGGTCCTTTTTCACAGCTAATAGATGAAAAGGCATCTACAGCAAGGCCTGGCATATAGTAAACAGACACCCAGTGAATGTTAGTTGAATCCAAGACTGCAGACTCGACTCCAACTCACTTGCCATATTATGTTTCCAGAAAGTAGATATTCTTCCACATATACAACATTTGTGTTTTAAGAAATTGGTGGAAAATTCCTGGAGCCGAGAAAATGATGAGCCATTTCTCTGCATTTCCCATGACATCTGACCTACTGCCAGGTACACAGATAACTTCCATAATGTAGTGGGAATCCTGTAGGATTTCCCTACTAACTACTTTCTCACTCTTTTCCTTTGGTATTTTAAAGCAATCAAAGACAAACAAAAAAGCTCAAATTTACTCAAGAATTTGGAATCATTTACAGACAAATCTGGTATCCTCACGCAAAAATGAAACTATTTATTTTCTCCTCATTTTGCCTCTTTCTCTTGTTTTTCATGAGGTTAGGAGGGCATGACTCGAAAGTTGAGCAGTGGAGTCAGGCCCAGAATTCCCAAAGAATTGTGCAATCTTAATCACAATGTCAGACCAACCCTGATAAGTTTTTGACTGACAAGAACAACGGAGGAGAAAACAGTTACCAGGAATCCATGCTCTTGAGGTTTCTTTCACCAAAAAGGCAAAGAACCATTCACTGTTTAGCTTTAAGCTAGCCAAATCCAACAAAGCCCTGGAGATTTTTGGCTTTATCTTCTCACTGAACTCATGCCAGCCTTGCACGGGCACAGCCAGGGCATCATCACCCAGCCTTAGGTGTTGGCAGCTTCTCCCACCCACTCCTTAACATTTTCCCTGCTCAGGGGCAATGGCAAAGGCTACCTCTCTTCCCACCACCCACTGCACCTGGAGGCACCTCCACCTCCTAGGGAAGGCTCCTCACCTGCCTGATCTCCCGCAAGTCCACTCACTAGGGAATTCTACTATCTTAACAGAACGTCAGAAAGTGAGAAAGTACCTGCCTAACGGAGATGCTAGACAGTCCTGTCAATGAAAACTCATAACTAGTAAGTGGGGAAGGAAAATAACCGATATACAGTATCCACATTAGCTTTATATTGGGAAAAGGGGTTTTTATTGAAGTAAAGCTCTTAGATTAATTAAAATGTTCTATTTTATTTAAAATACCTTTTCATATTTATCTCCTTTCCTTTCTTACTGTTATCTTCTTTGTCCATCACAACAAACTGGTCTTATTTAACTTCCATTCCTTACTTCCTCCAAACCATCATTTGTTGTTGTTAAATGCTGTCCAGTTGGTTCTGAACCATAGAGACCCTGTATAGAGTTTCCAAGGAGCGACTGGTGAGTTTGGACTGCCAACCTTTAGGTTCAAACCGACCTTGCTGTCGAGTGCTTATCTGACAGCGCCACAGCTGGACTCTGCCCAAACCATTGTAAATATCATTAAAAGACCTTCCAAAAAACACTCAGTTAAACATATTATTCAATTGATTCCTACTCAAGAAACTTTACTGAGTTGTTGCTGACAGTATAAAACTATTACATACAAATTCTAGAAACTAATATTCAAGTTCCTCAACATTGCCCCATACCCCAAAGAGATGCTACAAAGTAACCAGACATCGCCTCAAGAGTTCCTAAGACTCTTTTATCATTGCTGTGCCAAAGTCCAAACCAACAACAGAGTGAAAGTGGACATACAGATAGCCTCAACATGGCCACCTGGGAAGAGTATTTCCACTCAGACGTCATCGCTTTCTCTTGCCATTATGTATTTGATATTCAGGTTAGTTACATTCAGTCCACTGTGGCTGGCTACTATTGGATTTCTTCAAATCAATTGTGAGAGACTTTGCATTCTTAACAATGAACCTCCTGCCACATGATAGCAAATGAGTAAAACAAGTAAGAACAATAAATCAGCATTTAAAAAAACACAAGAAACATCCTGACACTTGTAGGACATCATGTTCTGGTGGATGCAGCAGAGAACTGGCAAACAAATATGAATACGAAGAGGCAAATCATACCCCTCAAAGGCCAGTGGAACAACAGGAGCAAATAGCACAGCAAGAGAAACATACTTAACAATGGAAAAATTGCTATGGAGATAGAGAATACTAAAGAATAGGAACCAAGATCCTTAGGAAGACAATGCATCTGTCCTCTTCTCCCCCTTCTGAAAGAGAACACAGAGCTGCTATATTTTATAGCCATATGTCTACCACTCTTGCCAAACACAATGAAACACCTCTGAGCTTTCCAGAGCAAAAACTTTTAAAAATAGTGTAGCTTTTCCCTAAATTCTTAAAAAGCAATTAATAGTGCCTCACGTCTTTTTCCCACTAATAACTTCTTTGAGGATCTTTCCAAGAAGGCTTTCCAGACATCTCTAGTCAATATTGACCATTTCCCATTTCCATATCTTACCACGTAAGGTTCTGACATCCAGAACCTTAAAGAAGTATGAATGAGGTTTGCCATTTTGTTAACTTGACAGCAAGCTCCTCTAGGACAAGAATCATGACTTTTTCTCTATCTTTTTCTTTTTGGCCTCCCCAATTCACCCTTTAGCATCTATCCCAGAAGTCTTTAAAAAAATACTTAAGAAATACTAATATTGCTCAATCTGAATTGAAATATATTCATTATCTGATGAAAATCCTCTTTTTTTTTTTTTTACTTTAGGTAGTTCATTTATCATTTATTCCTTCTGTCCTTCTTTATAGCAGAGTAAACATTTATGCTTTCTAAGTAACCCTATGTTGTATTGCTGAAATGTCAAACGTTTTGTTACATATATATTTACCATAATAAAAATTTATTAATAGCCTTTTTTTTTTTTCCTTTTGCAAGGGCGGGGAGGGTTCTAATCACCTAGCAAACCCACCCCTCCTACATATATAGAGCTTCTTATTGGTTTGGTTCACAGTGATGAACGTCAGTGTTTTTCCTTCAACTTTTGTGTGAAGGCTTTTAAATTGAACCGCTTTGCAAGATTGTTGTGGCCTAGTCTATAGGAATCACCATATCCCTTTTTCATTTGCCTCCTGAAAATTTGAAACTTAATCCCTCCATCTCACTCTAGCTCTTAGAGTCTACCTTTCTACCCTGAGAAGACCTCTCTGTGCTCTTTAGTCATCTTCACAATTTAGGGACAAGCCACAATGATGCTTGCAGACCAGCTCCCTTGTAAGAAATATGAGCTCCAATATTAGGCATGATTTGTGAGTTCATTGTAATTGTCTCATTAAGGCTACAGCTTATCAGTCTTCTCTCTTACACATTCTGGTCTTTCCCTAGCCCTTCTTCCCAGGCCAGCCCGCCTCTTCGCCCCCCCCCCCCCAAGAAATGAACTGGTTCACCCAGCAGGTTTAGTCTTGCTTTGGCCAGCTTATTGTTTCGACGTGATTATGAAGTTACTGGGCTTAAATACACAGTTTATTAATTTTCAGGCATTCATGATGTTTTCCTGTTGAGTGTGGTATGTGTAGGTGTGCATTTGTGTACTTATAGTAGCTAACACTCCTGAGGTTTGCAATTCTGCCAATGACTGAAGAAGTGGAGTCAAGTTTGGTTTACGTTACTGAATAATTACATCGTTTTAGAGATATGCTGGAGTCCAACTTTGCCATTGTGTAAATTGGAAAACGGAGGTATAACAAGTTAAAAGGACTTGGCCAGGGTCTTAGAGCTAATCAATAATAGAATTGAGACCACAGCTCAAAGCTACCATATCTCAATACAGCAGGGTCATATATATGTGAGTATAAACTCAACAAGCCTACATACAACCAAGATATATTATAGATCTGTGAATACAAATATGCAGAGACAATGTGTACTGGGAGGTAGTGTGTGTGCAGTTTATAACACAGAGAGCATCATGGTAAAATTCGAATCCAAAGAGATGACCTCTCCCTACCCTACCCATGCCAACCATTTCCACCAAGTAGCACATTAAATATGATGAACATATTTCTAAGAGTCCCTTGGAGAGATTTTCATATGATGTTCCTTTAGTTGGATCAATACAACGTTTTCCCTAACTCCACGAAAATAGCTTTTTCACACATCTATGCACACACATGCACACACACACATGAAACATTGCCAGCAGGTACTTTTAATTTGCTGGAAAATATTTCTAAGAAGTCAAAAAGCTCCAGCTGAATGAGTGTGCCTCCCTATTGGCTAGTCAGACCAGCTGAGGGACCTGATTGGTCCCTGATCAAAAGGACCGATAAGAACGGCTATAAAATCCCTGGGTGCAGCTCTTGGGCCCCCAGTTTGCAAAAGCCAGAGGTGCAAGAAGCAGCGACTGCAGCAGCAGTAACAGCAGCAGAAGCGTCAGCAGGAGCAGCAACAACAGCAACAAAAAAAAATCCTCATCAAATCCTCACCTAAGCTTCAGTGTATCCAGATCCACATCTTCACTCAAGCCGGGAGAGGGAAAGAGGAAAGGGGGGGGGGAGGAAAAAAAAAAAAAAAAAACCCCAACAACTTAGCGAAAACTTCTCAGAGAATGCTCCAAAACTCAGCAGTGCTTCTGGTGCTGGTGATCAGTGCTTCAGCAACCCATGAGGCGGAGCAGAATGACTCTGTGAGCCCCAGGAAATCCCGGGTGGCAGCTCAGAACTCAGGTAAGCAGCAAGCCCAGGATCGGTTTCTCCCCTAAAGAGCTGTCCTCATTTGCCTCTCGCTTTTGCAACTGTGTCTGTGACGGCTGATCTTGATAATAAATGTGCTTCATGCCTGATGGCAATAAACTGCCAGTGTAATCCAATAAATAGCCTTAGGAAGTGGAGCTCCTTTGTTTAATAAATTGCATGCAACTAACGAAGAAGCTGGGCGCTCTGCTGAGGGTATTTCATTGCATAAGCCTAGCCTGATTGCCTGAAATCTGGCACGTACCCTCTTGGGGTTGGGGGGGGTGCTGAGGGGGAAGGGGGCGGGGAAAGGCTTGAATGTTGGCATGTTTCAAAGCGCTCTCTATACTTTCCAGAAGCTGGTCTGAAGGTGAGACTTAGCTTTCTGATGCTGCCCCTCTTACCCTTAAGATCCTATAACTTGACATCCCTGCCTCCTTTGGGGACACACGGAGAAACTCCCTCTGCAGACTGATTTACAGAACCCTAGCCATCAAGTCCGACAAATCCAGGGTGAATTCAGAAAAGAAAAAAGAAAAAAAAAAAAAAAAAAATCTCTACACATCCCAGTGCTCTACCATTGCTCTCCCTGCTGGCTCCCAGTCTCCATTCAATTGCTGATGCAGCCCATGATCAGAGAGCCCCTTGATAAAAGATTATTTGTGAAATGCAGCAGCTGTTTCTTCCAGGAAAAGGTTTCCCTTTAGTCCTGACTCCTGGAATAGTTCATTGTGTACTATCTTGGCCTCTAAAGGGAAAGAGTCATTAGGAACACACACTGACACCTCTGCCTTTTGACTTCTCTTGCCCCACTTGCTCCTCTTCCATTACTACCCTCTCTGCCCCAACTGTCAGCCAAGATGGGATCGCAGGTGTCAAAATGCTGCAGCCCATGCACCCCTCGGAAGAGTACAGGTCCCTGTGAGAGGAGGGCATTTGCTTCACTTCCTTTTGTACTTAGTTGCTATAGAGATGCAGTGATTCACAATTCAAGCTTGCCTAAAACAATAGCAGCCCTAATGCATATTAAAACTGCTTAAAGCAAAGTTATAATTTGAACCCTTGGAAATATATAATTAGGGAAATGACTTGTAACATCCCAGAGGCTGCGGGTGGTGAGAGGGGGTGGGGAAGCCTAACTGAACCCTGCTTTTGATCTCAGAGGAGAATCCTATGGTATGAAGGCTGCAGATCATTTCTTGCCGAGCTGCCTGCCAGAACACCCCCCTTCTGTAGGAGAGAAATTACTTTTATGGGAGATCTTATCCAGAATGTAGAAAGCCTCATGCAAGTTCTTTGCGGTTTTCTTCCAGGCTTGCACAAGGGATGCCTCAGCCTTGTTATTCCACACCTGTGTTTCTCTTTAAGAAAAAGGAGGGGGGCTTTTAATATGAGAGATTATACATACCTCTAAGCACTGTCCTATAGTGGGGGGTTGGGATGCAGCTTGAGAGGATCAGATTTTTTTCTGCCAATATGAAGGTAAGTTAAATGTCCTACATCAGAAGGGTCTCCAAGTGGGCTTCTGGCAAATTCTTCTCCAGTTAAACTAAATTTCATCCTCCTTACTCTGGAGTGAATGTTTGGAAGCCAGATGAATGTCCTGACTCTCCCACCTCTTAAACCTGACCACCAGTCATTGCCATCTATTCCTCATGCTTTCAAGCTTCAAGAGATAACCTTTGCTTAAGCTGTTATTGGTGGTGGTGGTGGTGTGCTGTGGAATCGGTTCCGACTCATAGTGACCTTGCATAGGCTTTCCAGGGCTATCAATCTTTACGGGAACAGAAAGACTCATCTTTTTCCCGTGGAACCGCTGGTAGTTTCGAACTGCTGACCTTGAGATTAGCAGCCCGATTCATAACCACTACACTACCAGAACTCCTTTGTTGTTAAGTGCCGTTGAGTTGATTCTGACCAATAGCGAACCTGTATAGGGTTTCCAAGGAGCCGCTGGTGAGCTTGAACCACCAACCTTGAGGTTCAAACTACTTTGCAGTCTGGCGCATTAACCCACAGCGCCACGGCAGGGCTCCCTTTAAGTTGTTAGTAAGTGTCATCAAGTAAGTTCCAGCTCAAAGCCACCCTATGTAGAATTTCGGAGGAGTATCTGGTGGGTTTGAACTGCCAACCTTGCAGTTAGTAGTCCAGTGCTTATCCTACAACTCTACACCCACTGTATATTACATCAACTCCCATCTTATTTCTCCAGCCACCAGAATGGTCTTCTTAAAGGGAAGACACGTTCCCTTCTTCATGTGCAGTAGTTCTTGTAATCCAAAAGGGCCTGCCTGACCCCTTTCTTCTCACCCCCCACCCCCCACCCCTGTACCCCATCACATACTTCTTTAAGATAAGTTTTTCTGACTTCTTGTCCTTGCAACTTGCCTTTGCGCTCACCTAGTCCTGCTGAATCACCCTTACTATTTGACCTAGATTGGATGGATTTGTCTCTTCCAGCTGAAGTGGTTCGCTGCCTCAACAGTGCTCTGCAGGTTGGCTGTGGGGCTTTTGCATGCCTGGAAAACTCCACCTGTGACACAGATGGGATGTACGACATCTGTAAATCCTTCTTGTACAGCGCTGCTAAATTTGACACTCAGGTAATTAGATCTTGACCCTTGCTCCTGCTTGCTGCTTGTCTCTAACAGTGTGCTAGACTATTGTGCTTATGAACCAGCCTTGTAAGAAACAAGCTCTGCTTCTCAGTCTCCCCACTTCTCAGCATACACACAGTTACATGTACATACACAACCACACTCTTTTCTCCAGGAAATAAGTTTTGTATAAGATACTTTCCCACCCACTCTAATACATGATCAATAATGCTCTAACAGAGGCAGTTTTGTAAGGGGAAGAAGGATGAGCAGAAAATCTTCTCCTCCAATGGAAATTAAAATGTTCTTCCAACAAAGAAGTTCTACTTACTGTATTGTCAGCACACAGTATACATGCTTAATATCAAAGACTCAATCCCCAAACTACAAAGCAACATTGTGGATATTTTTAAACTGAATGGTGCTTGAGTAAGGTATAGCTCTCTTTTGATTCTCATTACATTTCTATGGAGCTCTGTTTGCATGGTAGTATAAGGGAGTGGGGGCATTTCTTTTATCCTTGGCAATGGCACAGTTTTGTCACTGCAAGGATATGCAGATGCCACGATACAATGTAAAGGAAAGCCCCCTTAGATTCTCTATATTGTATGACATGCTGTATCTTGTCTGGTCAAGTTAAATCTTTTCCTTCTATGTCACCTCCTTGGCAGGGAAAAGCATTTGTCAAAGAGAGCTTAAAGTGCATCGCCAATGGGGTTACCTCCAAGGTCTTCCTCGCCATTCGGAGGTGTTCCACTTTCCAGAGGATGATTGCTGAGGTGCAGGAAGAATGCTACAGCAAGCTGAATGTGTGCAGCATCGCCAAGAGGAACCCCGAAGCCATCACTGAAGTTGTTCAGCTTCCCAATCACTTCTCCAACAGGTACAAAAAAAGTCTACATGTTTGCAATTGGAGGGGAGAGAATGGGGTGATGAGCAGAGCCATACAGGGAATGGGGGTAAAAATGCCACAGTCACACTCTTATTTTAGCTTGCAGTCTTCACAGCTTTTGCAGAAAAAAATATGTTTGTGATTGGTTGTGACAGCTTAAGCAGGCTGGCTTTTTTTCCCTACTGTGATAGGAAAAGTCTTTCCATGCATTTAACAGAATGCTTCATCTGCAACATCACTGCATGCATTTTCATTGTCTGTTTTCTTGCCATAAGCCTGAGGGAATTGTGAAGTTTCTGGAAACAAGCTTTTGAAACATCAAATCTGGCTGAAATAATGAGTTTGAAGCAGTAGAATTGACCATTATAAAAACCCTGGTCACAATGCCATAAATCTGCATGAATTTTGAGTGAGTCTTTAGCCCATTAGATATTTCACTGATCAGCCTAGAACAGGCCATCTCACTTCCCTGGGATTCAGATTTTCCTGTGCAAAAAGTGAAAGACAATTCCACATTCCCTTACAGTCTTTATTCCAGTCAAGGCATTCCTCTCTTCCAAGATTTTCTGAAATGATGTTCTGATAGATGCCCAATCACAGACTATACATTTTCCTTTTTGGAATTCTAACATGGATAAAAGCCACTGAACTAGTAATATCTGAACATCATGTCTTTCTGGGCTCCAAGTTCACTACCTTTACAGCCAAGATCACACATGATGCTCATGTAGCACAAGAGGGCTGACATCCTCTCTCTTGCACATGGCCTAGAAAATTCCCAGAAGAAGAGGGCTTTCACATTTGTGATAATGTTAAGAGAGGTGTGACGGGACTGGTGTAAAAGTGTGACAGAGGCTGCGCAGGCTGGTCAATTACAGGCCATCCCCAAATCTACTGATACCCCACAGCCTAAAACTTGACTCCCCGTCCTAAAGTTTTATGATCCTTTGACTCTCCAGCCAATACTCACATATGCATAAAGACCAGTCCTATTCATGTTGCACTGGCCACGTAAGAGTGATCACTGACTTATCAGATTGATTTCCTTGGTAAGTGTTCCCACAATAGCCAAAGCTTTCTGAGGCTTGCTGGTAACTTGACCATGTATGGATAGTAGGAAGACGCAAAGTGTCTCTTCAGGGACAGGTGAAGGACTGTCACATAAAAATATTTGTAAAGCTTCTGATTCACTCTTAACTGCCCCTAACTGCAGTTCAATTTATAAAAATCATTTGTCTAATCCTTGGAAATAGCTCTAACTTGGCATCCTCTCCGATAGTAGGAAAATCAAATCCACCATTTCTTTTCAAATGACCTGTCTCCTTATATCAACCTTGGTTTTAAAAGTATCCTAGGAAGATTCTTACTGCATCTAAGAAAAAAAAGAAGGAAAAAAAATTTTTTCAAAGCATTACAGACTCCCTTCATGATGAGGAAAAGGAAATCGTTATTTTAGTCAGATAGGGGCTAGGGACAGGGTATGTGTTTGTATGTATTGGGTGGGTACTGGGACGGTGGTTAGCAAAGTTATCATTCCAAGTTTAGATCTTTAAGGATCCTGTGATAATTCATGATGTATATAATATGACATGTAACTAATTCAGAGGCAATAATGATCTTGCTATCACAACTGAAGTAGCATTTTCCATTAAGAAAGGAGAGGTCTTATAAGAAGGATGAAACAAATTCCAGATTGGTTACCCCAAGTTATCTAAGAAGAGACTAGTGAAAGGAGTTTGAACCAGTCCATTATTCTTGTTATAGGTGTCTTATTTTCACTACCTTTAGAAAATGATCACAAAACAAGTTTTGTTATTTCCCTTTCTCATCTTAGGGGTATCACACTTACAAGGAAAGGTTGGTGGGGGTGTGGAGAAGGTCCAGTCCTTGCAGACCAGAATCTTCAATGCAACTCTTACCTTTCTCCAATTATTTCACTTCAACTGGCTAATATTATTCCTGTTTAGAACTGTAGAGATTTCCGGTTCCACGCTGGGCTTGACTTGCTCTATTTAAGCTCCTCACTCTCCTGAAACATCCTGCTTTCCCAGCCTCTGTCCCACCATAGACACATGCTAAGCTGGTGCCAATTGGCACAGAATTGTAAAAGGAAGTAGTTACAGGTTCATTCCACCTTCCTGTGACTTATCTAACATGAGATTTGAGGCTGGGAGAATCCGAAGCCTGTGACTGGACTCGGAACCCAAAGAGGGAAGTTTTCCATGAGAGGAATACACCTAAAAGAGAAAGGATGGCTTAGTGTTCCCTCTGGCTGAATTTGCAAATTACACTGTCAACCATGAGGGAAGCAAGACAATTGATCAGATAGGCAGGGCAGTGTGAGCATAGGGAAGCAATCTGACCAGTCCAAATCCAGGGTGGGAAAACTGAAAAAGCTTCCAACTCTCTAGGGCATGGATAGGGAACAGGAAACAGAAGAATAATATTGATCAAGGGAAACAAAGGACTATTTATAAACCCTTACACAGAACGTTCCTAAGCAGTATGTGTGTATTTGGGTAAGCATGGCTGAAACAGTAGCTATGGAAAATATCTGACCCTATTCTTCACCAAGAAAAGAAAAAAATAATCAGTGATGGAATTTTCAAAGTGAGAAGAAAGAAACAAGCCACGTTGGTTGGTTAGAATATACTTTGCTCTCCCAGCCCTTGCCACACATATCCCAAGTCCCCATAGGGAACATATATATCAAATCCCTAGAAATACAGAACTTCACAACCAGAGATGATCAAAGAGGTTATTTAGACTAGCTGCCTCATTCTACTAAGTAAAGGATGGAGGCATAAGGAGTGAGTAAAAGCTATGTGCTGCAGGTCACACAACTAATGAATGACAGCCTTGGGTTTTAGAATTCCATGCAATCTGATTTTAGCTTCAAAAATAGCAACCAACAAACCTACAGAAAATATCCACAATCTGAAAATGGAATACAGAGCACAATTGAATATATGTGTACCATGGTGATCAACAATTAAATGAATTTTTATTCTCTCCTAAAAAAAGAAAGCATATCTTACCAATAACTATAGTAACAATAGGACTTGGCACGAAAAGTGCTTGATAATATGTGATAATTGTTAAATAAACCTTTGCTGAAGACATAATTCCTTAAATGATCCATCTCACTTAATGGTTTACAAGAAAGGTCTGCCTCATTGGCCAACATAATTCCTGGGGTAAATGTCTTATCCCAGTCTTGTTTGGTAAGGTGGAGGGTCAGAGAAAAAAAGGAAGATCCCCAACGAGATGGATTGGCCAAGGGGCAGCATCGATGGACTCAAGTGTGACAATGGTAGTGAGGTTGGCCCAGGATCAGACAGTGTTTTGTTCTGCTGTGCATAAGATCGCTATGAGTCGGTTACGACTCGATGGAACCTAACAACAACAACAATAACAATCCTTAATGGAAAGGCATGGAATTAACTGATTGCTCCCTCTGCAAACGCTGCTGACCTAAAAGTAACATGACAAGTTTTTCATCCTTGGAGGAGCTATTAGTGGAGCCATGGAATACTTTTCCTATTTCCAGGAACTCTTTTAATCTGCCTTTTTTCAGTTAACAAAGCCTCATGAGATAAGCAGGGAAGACTGGATTTCGGAGGGTCACTGAGAACAGTGAAGCTGGCACAGGTCATCAACAAAAGCTGTCATGGGTTCAGGTGTCATAGCTGGACCAGCAATGAAAGTAACAGGATATATAGAGCAGGTCCTTTAGATAATGAGTGGGAAATTTGCAGCCTGAAGAGGCAACGTTAGCTATAGAAACTTAGTTTCCTCATCTAGTGCTGATATCTAAGGAAAATAGTACCTCATTTTCTAGCCAATGAGGGACTCAAATGATGAAAATGATTCATCTAGAAGTAGCAGAACTAACTTTTAAGTTATAAGCTCTTCTTGGAGTATAAGGGGACCATCGGAAACCTTATAGACACAGAGATCTATAAGGAACTTGGGAGATGCCTAGAGAGTTATGTGGATGTGTACATATCTGTAGTTATTGGTAAAAAGCAGTTTATTCTTTGCTTTTCCACAACCGGTTTTCTCCCCATTTCCCCACCCAAGGGAGATCTGCATTGACTCCTGTGCTTTATAATTCCAAAGGGTTGGAAAATGTTCTTCTATGCCAGAGAATCCTAAATTTAACAGCAGCTGGATATAATCCTCTCTTGAGGAAGGGATATAACCAGGATCTGTCAGCAACCCAAACAGAACACTTCTCTTTCCATCCCTACCTTTGTTCAGTTCACCCACAGAAGGGTGACTGTTTTGCTTCATTACCCATGTTCTACTCAATTTACTGTACATCCTTGAAAGGACCTCTTTTGGGGGTTAAGTTATTCTGGAAATATGTTTGATCCTGTGCTCTGTAAGGTGAGTTAAAAAATAAACAGATTCCTTGTCACTGAAGATCCTGTGACCCTAGAGATTCTCAGGCTCCTCTGAGGAAAGGGTCTCCCCATATAAATACTGTAGGTCAACGTCATCATAGTCTCTTCTTAGCTAATAGATTTTGACAACTGCCATTTCAAAATGGTGCTCAAATACCTGAACTGTCTTTCCAAAGAACAGGACAAGCAACTTTTATGCTATATATACTCAACAGTGTAATCCTTTCTAACCACAACAGCTACGTGCACTATTTGAGATGTTTAAAGAAATTTTACCAAAGATGATGTTAGCTTATATCAAAAACAAGGTTGTTGTTTTGTTGTTGTTGTTGTTCAAAATTAAGCAGGAAGGAAAAAAAAGTTGTCACTGAGTCAGTTCTGACTCATCATAACCCCATGTGTATAGAATAAAACTTCTCCATAGAATTTTCAAGGTTGAGACCTTCCAGAAGCATGTGTTAGCCTTTTCTTTTGAAATGACTCTGGGTGGGTTCAAGTTGCAAACTTTTTTGTTAGTTCAGGAACTCCTAAAATTTACCATAACCATAACTCACTGCAGTTCTATCTCCTAGTAACCTGATAAGGGTCAAGTAGAACTGTCCCATAGAGTTTCCATGGCTGTAATCTTTACAGAGAGCCTCGGTGTTTCGGTGGTTAAGCACTGAGCTGCTAACCAAAAGATCAGCAACTGGGACGCACCAGTCACTCCATGGGAGGAAGATGTTGCAGTCTGCTTCTGTAAAGATTACAGTCTTGGGAACCCAATGGCATAGTTCTACCTCATCCTATAGGGTTGTTATGACTCAGAATTGTCTTAATGGCAAAGGATTTTGTGTTTTTGGTTTGTTTGTTTTTTAAGCCTTTATGGAAGCAGATTGCCACATCTTTCTCCCAGAGCAATTGGTGGGTTCCAATTGCTGAGCTATCAGTCAGCAACTGAGTGCTTAGCCACTGCACTAGCAGGTCTTCTAAATTTTCCGCACCTATAGTGAATCAAGAAATCTAAATCTAAAGAAATCTAACACATACCAAGAAATCTAAGAACCGACTCCACGGCACATAACCAACCAACCATAGTGAACCATGACTTACTAGAGAGAATTATATATTTTAAAAATCTTTTTCTTCAGTGACAACATATACCAAGAACTCTAAAGTGAGAGGACAATACCATGACAGATACAAAGAAATAATGACACAAATTGCTTGTGTTCTCACACATTACCTTCAAGGGGTTTTCAATCTAATTATGGAAACAAAACCATTACAAGCCTTCACATGTTAATCTGTATGATGTTTTTAAGAAGTTCAAGAAAGGAAAAGGCCAGCAAAAGCTAGAGCAGTGTGGGAGGAGGCTTTCTGGAATGATCTTTACGGAGTCCAACATTTCAATTTAATTATCCTTGTTGTTGTTAAGTGCCATTACTAAAAATGGCACTGTAAGCAACTGGTGTTTCTGAGGAGCAACTGTTGTGTTTCAACTGCTGACCTTGTGGTTAGCAGTCCAATGCTTATCCTACAGCACCACACCAGGGCTGTTTGGCATTTTGAACTGCTGATTACACTATACCTTTGGAGAGAGATGGAAAATGTAGCTAGTCAACAGCACTTACCAGGGCATGCTGAGTGTATGCTGTGGAAATTAGACATAGTAGAAAAATGAATGAGGCATAAAAGACAAGAGTCTTCCCTTTAAAAGGGATTTTTAGTCAGAATAAGTACTCATACACACACACACACACACACCTGCATGCACACAACCAAGGTAATGGAATACTTCAAAGAGGCATTCAAATAACTATGAACACATGTGCAATGACTGTTAATACAAGTGTTGAGTATCGGGTTCATCTCATTCTTGCTTCTACCATTAACCCATCTTATGATCTTGGATAAGTTGCTTCAGCTTTCCCACCTTAGCTGCTTTTCTGTGAGAGTTGAACTAGTCACCGATTGATCTTTGTGGTCCTATCAAACTCCATGATTTTATGGTTCTTAAAATTTTAGACAATGCAGTCAGTGTACTACTCAAAGTATGATCTAAGTCTCCTAGCACTAACCATAAAGCCATTGCATTGTATTGTAAATCCAGTGAGCATAGGAACTCAAGCTTAAAAAGATACTGCTTATGGATTAAAACCCAAAAGCCACCTTCAGCTGATGAACAATTTCTCATTTCAGGGTCTGGCCATTTGGGACCAGCATTGGCTGGAGCCTGGGTCTTGCCTTGTTCCCTTTGACTGACAACAGCATTGCCCTCTTTCCCAATGCAGATACTATAACAGACTTGTCCGGAGCCTGTTGGAATGTGATGAAGACACAGTCAGCACAATCAGAGACAGCCTGATGGAGAAAATTGGACCCAACATGGCCAGTCTCTTCCACATCCTGCAGACAGACCACTGTGCCCAACTACACCCAAGAGCTGACTTCCACAGGAGGCGCACCAATGAGCCACAGAAGCTGAAAGTCCTCCTCAGGAATCTCCGAGGTGAGGGAACTTCTCCCTCCCACATAAAACGCACCTCACCTGAGAGTGCATAACCAGGGAGAGATGTTCACCACCTCACCAACCGAGTATCATTTTAGAGGTGTTAATACACCAACTTTAAGTGTACTGTGCCTGGTTTGATTTTTTTTAAGTAGTTCCTATTTTCTAGCCCCCTTAAAGAAAATTGCATGAAACTAGGCTTCTGTAATCAATATTCCAACATTCTGCAATGGCAGCATTCCCACAAACAGAATACATGTGATCTTCTTGCCTCTCCTCTTTTAATTGCCTTCCTTTACCATGTCCTTCCCAGTTGCTCTCAGACTATCATCAAACCCAAAACATTCATGTAATTCCCAAGTCATTGTAATTTGAAGATGTGGAGCCCTTTAGAATGGTTGCCCCAGTAGAGTTAGCTGATAAGAAACAACTTAATTTAAATGCATGTCTTAAAAGCTCATAAAGATGTTAAATGGAATTCGTGTTATGAATCTGTGCTGGCCATGGACGAATATGAATGTCATGTTTGAATTCTTGATCTCTAATGAGCTAGTGTCTTATGGTCTTGATCCTCCAATGTCTAATTTCCTTTCCAATACATTTACCAAATTGCTCAAGCCTGGCCCTCCAACCAGACTTTGAGCCTGCATCTTCTTGCATCTAGTGAAAAACAAAAAGCTAACATCTTTATGTACTGTAACTGCTCAGAGCTTTAAAAGTATCTTTAACAATTGTCTTAAAACCAGAGAATCTTAAGGTCTAACTGTGGAATATAAATAGCTGAAAACTAATGTACTGTACATAAATTCCAGAGGACTCTGCTTAAACAAAGCAGTATATAATAACTTTATTGCATATAGATTTAGTTTTGTAACTTAGCTTTATTTTTTTTTCTGGGAATGGAATAACTATCTCACTTCCAGATATCCACATAAATGCTCCTTGTGGCCTTTTTTATAACTAAGGGGGTAGAAGTAGTTTTACTCAACATCAAAACTAAAGATGGGCCTGTATGAGATAGGAAAAACCAACAGGTTTATCTGAAGGACCCCAGGTAAGATGTTAATCTCCCAGCCCACCTCAACTCAGAGGCTGCTCTTGACTTAGACCTATCCTGAAACATTTGTCAAATCCAACTGGGAATTATAGGACCCAAAAAGAGCATCCCTTTGGACTTGGACCACTTATGGTGTGATAAGGCCTATACCATGGGAAGTGGCAGTTCTTAACTTGCCATCTTTTATCAGCACCCTGTACTCTGAGAAAATGATGACAGGGTGGGGGGCTTCCCATTAAGCCAATCAGGAATGAGTCAATAAGCCTTTGGGTCTTCAGTTTGAGGGATTTGGGGCTGAGGGGGCATAAATAATCCTGGGCTGTCCAGCCTTAATAGACTCCTCTTACATTTTTGTCCTGTAGCACTCTGCCTGCCAAAGTAGTCCTGGCAGCTGGGCCGTCTCTGTAGGGTTGCAAACTCCAGAAAGAGGGAAAAAAGAGCTGGTGGTTTGATCATTTCTGCCGTGATGTTTACAAGATGGCGACCACCAAAGCCACAGTAACCTATCTATGTTCAGAGTAACCTATCTATGAACAACAGTAGTTTCTCAGGGTCATTGTTCTTGAACCCAACAGTCCCTTATGAGTGTCACTACCCACCAAAGGTCAATGTTGAGAGAGGAAGATGGAGGAGGGGTAGGACTGTAGGGGCCACTCCAAACTTGCTTAGGTAGAAATTATTGGTGCTTGACTCTCACTAGGCTAAACTCAAGATTTGACCAAATCTAGTGATAGAGATCCTGGTGGGAGGAGGGAGGGCATATCTCCAGAAAAAAAAATGAAAAAGCAATACAACTTTACCGTAAAGCCTTTAAAACCAGTAACGTGCTGCTCAAGGACCAAGAGCAATTGCAGCAGCCCCAGCAGCAGCAGCAGCAGCACAGATGTGGCTGCCTTTGTTCCCACACAGCCTCAAAAGCGTGCTGACATCAGATTGTTAAGGGCATTTTTATACTCAGAACTGTCCTACCCCCAGGTCCCCAAATACATGGACACTGCCTTAGCCTCTTGGAAATCAGGTAGACCATACTCTAAGTTGACTCTCCCATTCCTCAACCCCACCCTCCACTCCCAGGCAAGGCTGACTTCTCTGAACCAGAAAAGCTATTAAAGTATGTGTGTTGTGTCCATTCACAAACCCACTAAGCCAGGACCCCGATGCGACAATTAGTTCATGAGTATTCCTAGCAAACGTCTCTCTTACTTCAGTTCAGTGGATTCTCTTTTTTTCTATGACTTCTTCAAATTGTGGTACCCCCCACTTTACTTCCCACAATGATATTTATATATGTATCTATAATACATATATCTACACATATGGAAAGAAGCAGTTCTCACAATGTTGCTAGTTTTTTGCTTCTCTTTTTCCCCACCCTTCTCCCTCCAACTCCTCCTTTCACTTCCAAAGCTTCCTCTTGTGTTTTATGCACAGAGTGATTTGGGGGCTGACCTAGACCAGTTTGCATGATTCTTCTATTGTGATTTGGTTGCACTTTAGACATGTTTGTGCCATTATATTTGCATTGTGTATTTATAATTTAAATGATATTTAGGTTTCTTGGCTGAGTACTGGAATAAACAGTGAGCATATCTGGTATATGTCATTATTTATTGTTAAATTACATTTTTAAGCTCCATGTGCATATAAAGGTTATGAAACATATCATGGTAATGACAGATGCAAGTTATTTTATTTGCTTATTTTTATAATTAAAGATGCCATAGCATAATATGAAGCCTTTGGTGAATTCCTTCTAAGATAAAAAAAATAATAATAAAGTGTTAAGTTTGATCGGTTTCTTTTCCCCAATGTCTTTCATTGTTATTCTTTCTAAACTTCTTAAATGAGAATTTCTGAACACAAAGATACTGGTTGGTTAGTTTCTATAAAGGCATTCCTTTGTAAACTGAGTATTGTTGCTGTTGTTAAGTGCCACTGAGTCAGTTCCATGTAGGGTTTCCAAGACTGTAAACCTTAATGGGAATAGACAGACAGCCTCACCATTTTCCTGTGAAGCAGCTGGTGGACTTGAACCAACAACCTTGTCAAAGAAATCCAATGCTTATAGTATAATATAGCAAATATGAGGGGCCTTGAAAAAGTCCATAAAAAGTGAATTAAAATATAATGGAATTTTTCCATGAACTTTTTGAAGCCCCCTCATATGTGAATGGCTGTAGTTTGATAAATATTTGTCTAAATTTCCTTAAAACCTTTTAGTGAATTCCATTACCTCAACAATAAAATTAAACCCAAACTTCTTTTCTTTACTTTCAGATAAGATAGCTCTACGCTCCAGCCATGGGCTATTCTGGAAACGATTATGCATTCTCTCTTTGATTTTCTGGTCTTTGTTAATGCTTTTCCCACTTTCTGAAACACTTTCCCCCTAATTCTTTTGCCTAGACTGGAAGTATCTTGCCATCAACCTTTTGTTCACTAAGATGTCCCCACCACTAAAAGAGTGCCCAGCTGGCAGGACACACTTAATATTTTAAATGAGTGATTTCGAAAGAATCAGAAGAGAAGGGAAAAGACAATTGAATCAGTGTGACAAGGTTGGCAAGTAGCTTTGTAGTTACATGGATCCAGCTCTGGAGTCAGGCTTCTAGGATTTGTAGTCTGGCTCTGTTACTTTCTAACTGCAAAACTGTATTTTCATAATGCATCAGTTTGTTTCTCTGTAAAATGGGGATATGATCACCATCTCATAGAGTTGTTACAAGAGAATAAAATAAATGAAGTATTTACCACATGCTCAGTACACTATTGAGGGTCAGAAAAACAGTCTACATCAAATTGGTTACAACTCCTGGTAACCCTATATGTGTCAAATTGGAACTGTTTTTCCATAAGGTTTTCAGTAACTGTGATCTCTATGAAATAGATCATCAGGCCTTTCATGGATTTGAGGCAACCCTGCATGGATTTGAACCAATTAGTTTGGTTAGTATCCAAGCGTTTAACTGTGTGTACTACCACCGAGGGGGGGGTGTCTCTGTATACTCTAATGCCTTATAACATTTGAACCACAAGGTTGGCATTGAATCTTACCAGCCACTCCTTGGAAACCTTGTGTAAGGTCACTATGAGTTGGAACTGACTCAATGACACTTAACAATGACAACACTATCTTAAGTAAAGGAAGTAAGAATATGAAGGGACAACCCATCTCAGACAAGGGGGAAAGAATTCACAGCAGAAAGACTTTTAGCTGGGTCTTGGAAGAAGGTTATGATTAGGTCACAGAAAAAGTGGGCCTTTTGTGGTAAGTTTTTTTTTTTTTTTTTCAAGAAAAATCCATAAATATGTTGTTGTTTTCCATTAGATTTACCCCCATATTTTAAATTCAGATAGAGACATGTTTCTCAACATCATTCTTTTCTAGCTACAAATTGCATTTTCCCAATATGCACAGAGCCCAAGGCCAAAAATGTACTGCATGTGCTCTACTGTGACCTATTAAGTAGTATATATATTATCATCCTTCATGCTCAATTTTCATCTATCCATAAGCATTTATGTAGAGAAGCTGTATACTATACTAGTGTGTAGTGTCGTAGAACTTAGACCCAGAATTTCTATGAACTGAGTCCAAATCCTTGTTCCTTGACTATTTCTGTGGCCTTGGACCAAGCGTCTGATTTCTTCAAGCCTTAGTTTTCTCATCTATGAAATCAGGATAAATAATAAGTCGAACCTCCTAGAGTAAATTTTAGAATTAGATGAGTTATAGATAGAGCACTTGTGTGGTTCAAACCCACCAATCACTCCTCAGAAACCCTATACTGGGTCACTGTGAGTCAGAACTGACTCAAAAGCACTTAACAACAACTACAACATAGAACAACAAAAATAAAACCCAAACCAATGCCACTGAGTCAATTCCAATTAATGGTGACCCTATATAAGGTCTTCAAGGCTATAAATGTCCGTAGGAGCCAAGTGTTTCACCTTTCTTCTACGGAGCAGCTGCTGAGTTTGAACTGTCAACCTTCAGAGTATAGTAGTCCAGAGCTTATCCTACAGGCTTCCATATAAAGTACCCTGAAAATATTATCTTCTGAGTGTTACGTTTTTTCCTTGGTCCCTCTCGCTCTTGCAGGGTCTAAAGAATTAGTCCCACCAAGTCACTGCTTCTCAGCAACATGCTATCAATAAGCATTCACTTAGAATCTCTTCATTGCCAAGCAAAAGTACACTTCAGAGAGAGAAGCGGGTCTTTCTCCATGAGTGGAGAAGACGTGGTAGCAGTAGGGCACATAGATTAGATGAGGTCAAAGCGAAAGGACACTTCAAAGAGAGAAGCAGGTCTGTCTCCACGAGAGGAGAACACGTTTTGAGGTTGGGGTGCACTGGTTTATAAAGGTATGGGGTCCTTTTCTCGAAGGGTGAGCCAATACATATTAATTAGGAGGAGTGGTATGTTGAATATTCATGGTTTTTTGGTAAAGGGGCGCAGGCTTCATGGAAATGGGACACTTTCTGCAGTTGAGTTGCCAGCTTTAGGTGCTATTTTCATGGATCGTCTGCCTGAGACCAGCTATTTCTGTCAGGGTTTCAGGTTCTGATATCCCCATCTCTGTCTCCAGGCTGCTATTCTCAGTGTTATCCTTGTTGGACTAGACATCTCTTTCACTTTCAGGGGAAGCCAGGGTAAGAGAGGCCCAGGGCCCCAGAGGTCCTAACTTGTCCCTGACATGAGCTCTCAACAAATGTAACTTACCATTTACATTAATGCTATCACCATGATTTAGATTCTACAACATCCAACATGAGTCATGAGGTACCAGTTTGGATGAAGGTTGTTTTTATTGCCCTCTTTCTGCTTGCAGATCACTAACAGTACTGCTTCATCAAGATTTTATGACTTGAAGTAATAAAATAGTTCAGCATACAAAAAATAGGAAATTAAAACATCCTGGGCATCGCCATTCCATCAGTAACTTAAGAAATGAAGTATACTATACTAACACTTTACTATATAATATACTCCTGTGTTGTCATTGCTGTTAAGTGCAATGAAGTCGATTCCCATTCATAGAGACTCTATATAGGGTTTCCAAGGAGCAGCTGGTGAGTTTAAACTACTGACCTAATAGTTAGCAGTCTAGTGTTTATCCTACAGCTCCATATGCCTTCCTAAACCCATTCACATATTTGCTATCTATGACTTTAAACTGCTTGGAAAGTCATGGCTTAAAATGACAAAATTGCTCAAAATATTGAAATATATTTTAAATGTTTTAAATTTTTATGTCTTTTAAAAATGGGGTTAAAAAAATCATAAAATGGAACTACCTGGGTGTGAGAGTCTGGCATAAGAAAAAGACCAGGTCTGCCCCAAATGTGGTCTATATGAATGGGCATAGAGCTGTCATCATGGCTTCTAAATCAGTGCTTCTAAGA